TAAAGCAATTAAACTTAATAATTCAAACTTCTTTGAAAACTTGTACTAAATGTGTAAAAGCGAGAATCAGTCAATAATAACTTTCTAACATGGAGGTCAAGGATTTATTAGTATTCAGTCTTTCATAATCAAGACAAGCATTAAATAAATTATTTTTTAAAATTAATTTTATGAATACACCACAAAAATAGATGATAATATAATTATCTCATTATATTACTTTACATTTGATTCAATGTCACCAAATAACTTATGTTTATGTCCTGATCATTTATTCGAAAAATACAATAAATTTACAAATTATTTCCAATATTACAAATAGAAAATGTATATAATTATAAAAGCTTATTTTATTTAACATTCTCTTTAATATTTAAAATTGATGCTATAAAAGTTTTAAAACATAGTAAATCTTAAATTTTTTGAATATAAAAGTGTCACGTAACTATTAAAAAAGTTATTCACAAAACCCGATAACAACAAATTCATAAATAGTAACTGTTATATAATAAATTTATGATAAGGGCTTTAAGTAATGATAATAAGTTAAGTTTGATATTGTAATCAAGTAACGTACTAATATTATTATTAATAAATGTGAATTTCAAAGGATGTGACACTGGATTTGGAAATCTGCTGGCTCAACAGTTGGACTCAAAAGGGTTTACCGTATTTGCCTCGTGTTTGGACCCGGAGTCAAAGGGAGCTCAAGATTTACTTAATACATGTTCAAAGCGTCTGAAAGTTTTCAAACTCGATGTCACCAAAGATGAAGACGTGAAAGAAGCGGTAGATTTTGTCAGAAATAATCTCCAAACCAATAGTTAGTTCTAAACAAAAAGTTTTATATCATTTTCATATTTCGTATAAAACATTAATAATTTGTGCAGAACTTTGGTCTATTGTGAACAATGCGGGGATATTACACTTTTTGCCCGTAGAGTGGGGTCGAGAGGGCGTCGATATATTCAAGAGACAGATGGATGTGAACAGTATGGGTCAGGTGAGGGTCACCAAAGCATTTCTGCCTCTACTCAGAAAAACCAGAAACAGTCGGATAGTGAACGTCGAAAGTTTGGCCGGTATTTGGATTGACACTAGAAATGATTGTTTCATATATTGACTCAATGTTTGCAATTATTTAACCGATGATTAGGTCGGATAGCAATGCCGGGTATCAGTTCCTACGCGATGTCAAAGTTCGCGGTCCGAGCCTTCAGTGAGAGTCTGAGGAATGAAGTGAAACAGTTTGACATCAATGTTGTGGTCATTGAGCCATCGGTTTACAGGTATTTTGTATTCA